ACACACACACACACACACACACACACACACACACACACACACACACAGTCACGGCGGAGTGATTAATGGCCTGCTGTGTCTGAAATCACACTGGAGAGACTCCAGTTCACCAAACACCAGGAATTCCTCCCGGGGACGTCCAGTAAAGTCAAATATATTATTACATACCAGTGGCGGGGGGGGGGAGTCTGAGGATGGAAGGAAATGGAGGCGTCAAAGCAGTGTGCGATTCAGTTAGCCGGGACATTTTATTGTTTTATATATTATCTAATTTGACCAGAATTGTCCCACTGCGATTTTAAAGAAAAAAAAAAGAAAAAGAAAAAGAAAGCGCTCAAAAGAAGCAAAAGTACAAAATGGCGATCCAAGTTGGCTCTGACCGACCGGGACGGATAGATACGTCACTGCTATCGTTTCTGCTGCAACAGTAGAAGAAGCAAGCAGTGTTTCTGAAGTAAGGAGCAGCAGAGGAAGAGGAGACGGGACACCATCTTTAATCACTCAGCCAGCGGCAGCAGCATGAACTGAAGCGGTCCTGTACACTAAACAGGATGAAATAAATTACAGTTCCTGGAGGAGTATGCAGGCAAAAATCAGTACCCCGTCCGTCCATCAGGATGGAGGCTCCAGAATAAACAGACACAAACCAGAGAGATTCACACACGGGCTGGGGAAGCACTGTTTGTGGCACTAATTGTTTTTCTGTTGTTTCCAAATGAGCTCATGATCGCTTTCGCCTCTTGCACCTTGTTCTGTTGTGTTCTTTCGCTTAATTCTGTTGTACATATAAATCAAACGCAATCATCTCTATCTCAGCAGCTCCTCCTCAGATTTCCTCACTTTTCCTCAATCAGGCGGTTTCTTCCGTCAGCACATCCCTCCGCTGCTCCCCTCGGTGGCAGCTCTGTTGAAGGGTCGTGTTCGTGAAACTAACACAGCAAACCGAATATGACAGGCGCCATAATCAACACACCCGCTCGCTTCAGCGTCCATTTAAAAAAGAAGAAAGACCGATTGCTGAAACACAAAATGTGCTTTCGTTTAGCTAATATTCAACTCTGTGTGCACTGGGAGAGAGAAAAGAAGAAGAAGAAGAAGAAGAAAAAGAAATGACAGTGAGTTTAGAGCAGAAGTAAAACTCTCAAATACAAAACAAAAAGCCCTCATCATCCCCTCCAGAGCAATCTCAGAATGGGATAGCTAACGTGTGAGTGCTGGCTCTGAGCACAGACACAATAAATATGTAATTAATAAGTGTAGAGCCCTGGCATTGTAAAAAGACAAACGCTGTGTCTCACAGGAAAGTCCGCCTTCTTTATGAGCGAGAATACGTGCGCCCCGGCCTGCCAGCTCTCTAACTGCAGGGGTCTAGACACAGGCAGCTTCAAAATATAAAAGAAAGGACTCTTGTAAAAGGGAGGAAACAACCAATAAACACACAGCTACAGTGATGAGTAATAGGAAGTTCTTTGCTCCGTCTTCCTGTCCATTTATTTGTATTCCTGTTGAGGGATCTTTTAATAGCAGGCTGACTGTCACGTCTTTCATCTCGGAGTCATCCACCACCACCAGTGTCTCCACCGTCTCCCTGCTCTGCGCCCCGCCGGGGCCTCTTAGCAGCACATGACACCTTTTACACCCTCCGGTTAAAGCGGCCACATTTGTGGGCTATTTGAGCAAAGAGAAGTGCTGAGGTTACTGAGGCCCAAAGACTCTAGTTAAAGCTTGGTGTATGCGTTTGTGCGTTGCGCATACAGCCGTGTTAAAACCGACATTGGTGTCTGTAAGTTTTACCACAATGTGGGAGCCAAAATGGAGTCCACCCGAGTTAAAATGACCATCGTCTCTGCAGGCAGTCCTGTTAAAAGTAGTCTATTAGAGGAGGCCACAAGGTCAGGCTTCTTGTGAAAACTACAGAGAGCATGTATATTTAAGCATGTTACAGTATGTTGGACTCCGGTCTCTTCCCTCTTGGGTCCGCTGCATTAAATGTAGGGAGTGTAAAAAGGAGGATATAGCTATGCAGGTGGGTGGTCGTGCTCAGCTTCACCGTGGTTCACGAGGAAAACGCTGGGAGGAAAACGGTGGGAGGACTCCTCGCGACCGGCTGACCTGCAGTAATGTATACACAGGCTGA